ACCTCCTTGGACCTGCTTGAGATGCATCTATGGATGCATGGCAAGGTGTGATTGGCCTTCCTGACCATGTCCCCACACTGTCAGCCCATGTTCATATTGGCATCAATAATGATTCCAAGAACCTTGTCAGTGCAGAAGCAGAAAAGAAGGGAGTTCCCCAGCCTGTAGGTATGCTGCTGGTTCTTCCTCCCCAGGTGCAGCACCTTGCGCTTGTCAGTGTTGAAACCCATCCTGTTCTCATCTGCCCACCCCTGTAACCTGTCTAGGTCCAATTGCAGCCTATTCCTCCCTTCTAGCGTGCTCACATCCCCCCACATCTTAGTGTCATCAGCAAATCTGAATAGGGTGCTTTTTACCCCCTCGTCCAAGTCACTGATGAAGATGTTGAACAGCACGGTCCGAGGACCGAGCCCTGGGGAACCCCACTGCCCACAGGTTGAAAATGACACATCCACCACCACTCTCTGGTTGGCAGCCCTCCAGCCAACTACTGACCCATTTGACTGTGTAGGTGTCAATGCCACAGTCCTCTAGTCCACAGTCCTTCCACCTCACCTGGAAAGGGAAGAAGCTCTTTTTGGCCAGAATGGCTGACTTTCTTGACAGGGCTTTAAGCTGAGACCATTGGGGGATGGGCGATCTACTAACAGTTCTAGCCTGTCATGTCAGCTGCACTACCAATAACTTGGGCAGCCCAAGGGAGACAGCCCAAGGAAAGGTCCCGCTTCACCCCTCAGGGAAGCACTGGGCTTCTCATGGCAGACTTAACTGCCTGTACACAAACGCCAGGAGCTTGGGAAATAAGCATGAGGAACTGGCCCTTCTCCTATGTGAAAATAATTATGACCTCATAGGAATTACGGAGACCTGGTGGGACTCCACCTATGATTGATTGGTGGCAATAGAGGGCTATAACCTGTATAGGAGAGACTGGGTCGGGAAGAGGGGTGGGGGTGTAGTTCTCTACATCAAGGATCAGCTTACCTCCCTGAAGATTGAGTTTCCAAACCAGGAACGGAGTCTTGAGACCCTCTGGGTCAAGATATGAGGAGAACATGGGCACGGTGACTTACTTGCAGGAGTCAACTATAGACCTCCCCACCAACAGGAAGACCTAGATCAGGAATTCAATAGGGAACTGGTTGAGGCCACGTGCTCCCAATCCATGATAGTCATGGGGGACTTCAACTTTCCTGACATCTCTTGGCATGGCCAAATCTGACAGGTCGCGTAGCTTCCTCACATGCATTGATGACCTCTACCTAACCCAGGAGGTCTATGGGCCGACTAGGGGAGAGGCATTGCTTGATCTGGTTCTTGTCAATGGGGCAGACCTAGTAAGCGATCTGCGGATCGAGGTGAAGCTTGGTGACAGCAACCACGAATTGGTCACCTTAGTTCACCAGGCAAACCCAGCAGTAAAGCAGAAGTCCTCAACTTTGGGAAGGTTGACTTTTGCAAAGTGAGAGAACTGGTCAGTCAGGCAATTAGAGGCCATTCCCCGCCAGAAAAGGGAATATACGAGGATTGGTCATTTCTTAAAAACATAATCCTTGAAGCACGGGCAAAGCCATACCATCTCACAAGAAATGCAGTCAATGGGGCAAGAAAGCCCCCATGGCTGAATAAGGAGCTCTTGGACCTTATTAAGCTCAAAAGAGCAGCCTACACCAGCTGGAAAACAGGAAGCGTTACTAAAGAGGATTACTCTGCACTCGCCCATACCTGTAGAGAGCGGTCGAGGAAAGTCAAGGCACAAACTGAACTTAGGCTAGCTACAGGAATCAAGGACAACAAGAAGTCCTTCTTAAGATATGTGGGAAGCCAGAAAAAGAACAAGGATAGCATTGGGCCCCTGAGAGATGCAACAGGGCAACTGACTTCCAATCCCCAAGAAAGGGCCAATCTCCTAAATTACATTTTTGCATTGGTTTTTTACCCTCCCAGGAGAATCACACTGTCAGGAACAGCACAAGTCAATCCAGGAGTGGGCGATGGGCCTAAAAATCAATGTGGATCAGGTGAGGGAACACTCTGAGGAACTAGGTGTCCACGGGCCCAGACAGAATGCATCTGAAAGTCCTGAAGGAGCTGGCAGACATTGCACCCCGCTTCACAGAGATATTAGAAAAATCATGGTGCTCGGGCGAGGTCCCGGATGACTGGAAAAGAGCCAACATGGTCCCTATCTACAAGAAAGGTATCTCGGACGGCCAGAGCCGACTCGAGTTACGTTAGAAATTGGTCGTACGTTAGGGCGGGCTGGTGAATGGAGAGGCATACACGACTTATTGGTTGTAAAAAACTTTACTCACGCCGCTTGCAATCACGACGCAGGTGGTCCGGTCATCGGAACAACCACACGAGTTGTTCCAGCTGGCGGGGCCCAA